TGTGCCCATGGGCGCCATGGCGCCCGCGGGGGCATTTGTGTGTGTCCGCCAAGTGCTGAGGGCTGGTCCCGCCCTGGGCACGAAGCGCATGTGCGGTGCTGGAGTCGGCCTCTGGCTCATGGTGCATGGGGAGCGCCGGCTCCAGGAGCGCGGCGAATTGGCTGCCTGCGCCCTAGGTGTGTGGCTATGGGGGGCGCTGGCCCCGGGAGCATGGCTATGGGGAGCACCAGCCCCAGGAGCGCGGGTATGGGGGGCACCAGCCCCGGGAGTGCGGAAAATTGGCATCCACGCCCCCAGGCACGCAGCTATGCGGGCGGGGTGTGTGTGTGTGTGCCGGCTTTGGGCACGTGGCTCTGCAGGACACTGGCCCCAGGCTTGCTGCAAATGGGCGGCCCCGTCCGTGGCCACGCGGCGCATAGGGTTGCTGGCCCCAGGCACGTGGCTTATGGGGATGTGGCGTATGCGCGGCCCCGCCCCCGGGTGCACGAGTGTCCCCGCCCTCTGGCGCCCAGCAGGCGAATGGGCACACCCCCTGGCGCCCGGCAGCTTCGAATGGTTGGGGACCACTGGTCTAGACATACCCAGAAGGTATCAAGAAATTTCATCTTTGCATCCCATCCTGAAGTAATGTGTACCCAGTCAATATGGGGATAGTTGAAATCCCCCACTATGATCCAGTTTTTTAATTTGATAGCCTCTCTAATCTCCCTTTGCATTTCATTGTCACTATCACTGTCATGATCAGGTGGTTGATAATATATCCCTACTGCTATATTCTTATTATTGGAGCATGGAATTACTATAGAGATTCTATGGAACATTTTGTCTCATTTAAGAATTTTACTTTGATTCTACATTTTCCTTCATGTATAGTGCCACCTCCCACCAGCCTGACCAGTTCTGTCTTTCCGATATTGTTTGTACCCTGGTATGACTGTGTCCCATTGATTTTCCTCATTCCTCCAAGTTTCCATGATGCCTATTGTATCAATATCCTACTTTAAAACTAGGCACTCTAGTTCACCCATTTTATTATTTAGACATCTAGCATTTGTGTATAAGCACTTTAATAATTCATCACTATTTAGCTGTCTGCCATTTCTTGATGTGTTAGACTCTTTTATTTGATGGTGTCTCATCTGATCCGACCTATACTTCCATCCTCTCCTCCTGACTAGAGCATAGAGCATCTGTCTTAATAGAACCTCCCCTAATGTCTCTGTCTGATCCATGTGCTCCTCTGCACCTGTTGGCTTTCCCCCAGCCCTTAGTTTTAAAACTGCTCTACAACCTTTTTAATGTTAAGTACCAGCCGTCTGGTTCCATTTTGGTTTAGGTGGAGCCCATCCTTCCTGTATATGCTCTCCCTATTCCAAAAGTTTCCCCAATTCCTATTAAATCTAAACCCCTCCTTGCTACTCCATCGTCTCATCCACGCATTGAGACTCTGAAGCTCTGTCTGCCTACCTGGCCCTGCGTGTGGAACTGGAAGCATTTCTGAGAATACTACAATTGAGGTTCTGGATTTCAGTCTCTTTCCTAGCAGTCTAAATTTGGCCTCCAAGACATCTCTGCTATCCTTCCCTATGTCATTGGCACCTAAATGTGCCATGACTACCAGCTCCTCCCCAGCACTACACATAAGTCTATCTAGATGCCTCTAGAGATCTGCAACCTTCGCACCAGGCAGGCAAGTCACCAGGTTTTCCTGGTCATCGCAAACCCAGCTATCTATATTTCTAATGATTGAATCTCCCTTTACCAATAACTGCTTAGTCTTTAAAGTGCTGCATAGTCCTGTCTTTTGTTTTGTGCAAGAGCCATTCTTCCTCAAAAAAATGAGCTCCTTATGGGCTGCAGCATGGTCTATGGTGCCAGGCAGGCAGGAAAGTACCTTCACACCCCACTGCAGTGCTGGCCAGGAGCCGCTTGAGGTAAGCCCTTCTTGCCCCAGCTCTGATCCCTACCCCCCCCATAAAACCGGAGCCCTCTCCTATGCCCCAAAGCTCCCATCCTCAGCCCAGAGCTCACACACTAGTCAAATTATGTCGGGTTGTGGGCATCAACAATTTTCTTCATCTAGTCATGAGACAAAAAGTTTGAAGCCCACTGGTCTAAAAGTCCTAAAGTTGCAGATACCAACCATCTTTCCTAGTAAAGACTACTAAACAAGGTTCTCTTTGAGCTCATTTGCATTACTTCTTAACTGGCTGGGAGCAGGGCCACTGCTAAGGGAAGCAAGAGACATTTCTTCTGCTTATCTCCTTGAAACTCCACCTGTGAAGTTTTATCAGTGCCTGCCAACCTGGAAATTAACATGTTTGCTGTTGCTTGATGATGAACTATTTTTTCTACAATACATTCTTCAATGTTTTCCTTTCAAGATTATTATCACTGTCAATCACACCAAGTACTGAGTGCTGCTCTTAAAAAATTATATATATAAAATGTAACACAAATGTATATGCAGATTTTAAGAATGTTTCTTAAAATAGCTAAGCTAGAAACTTCTCAAAAGCAAGCATATCATAAAGAACGCTTAGCAGAAATGAGTCTGATCGATTAATGTTTCATTTAAAAAATAAATCAATTTCATGGCCTACTATAGCCAATGTGGTGGTTTTATTTATATCCAATTCTCTCCACCACCATTAAATGCCACCCCAAACCTGAGTGTCTCATGCAAGTTAATTGAGCTGTGTGTTTGTCTGGACATAGAGTGGTTCTTATGAGAGCTTAGTTAGAGATGGAGTTGGGAGAGGTTTTCCAGGACTGAATACTGCCAGTGATCACCTACAGATCTTAAACATTTTGGTATTTGTTGTTAAAATAAATACCTTTTAAAAAGATCTGCCTTTAAAGATCTTCCTATTCCAATTCATGGTTCTCATGCCATCTGCTGCTCTACATGAATAACTTCATATCATTTGTTTTAAAAAAGAATTGCTTGAGGGCTGGGGTAAGGTGAATGACTCACTGAAATACCCCCAGAGTAAAGTGGAGAGGGTTTTTTTTCCTTTAATAGAATAAGGAGCATTTTGCCTCTCCAACCAACGTTCAGCTGCAATGTTGAAAACACAGTAGAAACAAAGTAAATTGAAATTCTTGCTTAGGAAGTTCTGTAACTAGCACAGTATTCCACAGCAGGTGATACTAGCTCACTCCCACAGTGAATGTGCATAACTTGGCATAGGTGGCCCTTTCTCCCTGATGCAGACTTCACATTAGTGATCCACACACATTTATAAACTTGAAGCTAGTTATTTGTGTGCTGTATTTAGAGACTATACTTTAAAAGAACCCAGAATCTAGTGCAGATTTATGTCAGCACATATCCTAAGAGGGATGGACTGTAGTGGGTATACATAACCCTGGCATGCTGTGACCTGCACTACTTATCTGCTGCTCCTAGGTATAGTTCAAGTAGTTACTTATGATTACTAACTTCCATAGTAGTTTAGGAGTTTTTTCATCTAATGATTCTGTATCCCACCATGTCAACTGTGCTTCATCAGACCAGTGTTGGTTTCTTGAGTGCCTAAACAATTGATGGTTGCCTATTCAGGGATCAGCCTGTCAGTATTTCTCTGAGTAGATTGAACCCTAAGTAACAAATATCATTGCAGATAAAAATGACAATGTGTAAATCATAATGCTGTTTAATGCCTCCCAGTCACAGGATAGCATCTTCCCATCGGCCCTCACAGGGGAGTGTAATGAAGTGCCGAGCTTTGGTCAGCCAGTGACTCAAGCAGGGCAGGGTCAGAGAATATATAAATATTGCTGACAAAATTTCTTTCCTTTGAGTTAGAAGTAGCTGAAATTTCTCACTGTCCCTTTAAAGAGCTGTCTAAATCCAAGTAAATACTAAATGTACTTCATAGGTCCACCCCAAGACTATGAAATAAATTCCCATTGGAGCAAAGGGCCATCACACAGATATCACCACAGTCTGCTCTGAGTGCAAGACACATTTCTTTGACCTTTCCTTGTTTAATGTATGTATGTATGTATATAACAATTCCCAAACAAAACGCTCCTCAGTGCACACTTGTAGCCACGAGGAGAAGATGAGAGGATAAATGTGAAATGTTAGGCACGTCATTTAATGCCCTCCTGGAAAGCACTCACATACTAGCCCTCTGAGCTGAGGCCTGTAGACAGGGTCTGATCCTTCTGACTTGTTTTCTTTCCAGTCTATCTGATCTTTCCCTTTTGTGCATCTAAAACATCTCTAGACAGTTCGCTTAATTGCACAAAACCTATCAACATTTGGACATTTGCTGTAAACAAAATCATGCTTTGTATTGAAATCTGCATGAGTTCTGTTTGTGTAGTTATCATATTTAGAGGATATGTTTACACTGAAAAAAAAAACCCTCGGATTAGCCTACCTGCATTAGCTGGCTGAGGTTAAATAGGCAGTGAAGACATAGCAACTTGCCTTGTAACTCTGCTTACATGTTACAGGGTACCCTGGGCTTGAACCCAAGTGACAGTCTGTCATCTAAGGCAGTACAAAGACCTGGCCTTGTGGGACTGGTGCTACTCCTTTGAAAAGCTTCACAACATGTGATGGCTATGAATCTCCAAATCCTGCCATGCTTTCTGCAAAGTTTTGTTACAGTGTAGCACTCCAGGGAGTTGTAGGACTGAGATGGGAACAGAGCCAATGGAATGGGTCCATCTGCCATTTTCCAACACCGTCATGGGGCTGCTATGAATTTGTGGCTGCATTTGTGGCCACAGTATTTACTATGGGGCTTATGGAGGAGGAGATTTCACACTTCAGCGTCTATCCATTATTCCTACAACTCAAGCCACACACTAGCTCTAGGATACTCTAATACTGTATATTCCTCTCATAGATGGCTGCATGTATGTTCCTGGACAGGCAATACATCATGATTGCATTCTAAATATGCATGATATAAAATACATTTGCTTATATGTTCACTCATGCATCCTGCTGCCTCAGAGTTCATTTTCTTGTGTTGCAGCTTTGTGCCTGAGTCTCCTTCTTCAGGAAGCAATGTTACTTCAACAAGAAAGCAGCCACCAAACAGCCGGCTGTCTTCTTTCTCTTCTCAAACGGAACCTGCCTCCATGATTGATCAGCATGATTCCTTAAAAGACCACAGGAGCACAAGTTTGGACCGTTCCAGCACTGATATGGAGTCAACTGATGGTATTGAGGGACCCCTTCAAGCTGATACCTTCCCTGAGGAGAAAACCATCGACTTCTCCTTCTTAGATGTAAGTATGACAATGATATCGTTAGCAAAATGCTATGCTGTGTCTTCCAGTTTTACATTCTGCCTTGTTCTATATTACTTTATCCATTAAGGCTTCTTCATTGACTTTTTGCGTGAAAAGTTTAAGATAAATTGTATTGAAAGTTCTTCTGAGAGCCTTTCTCATTGGGTTTGTGAATTCCATTACAAAGTCCAAAGGGACAGTGGTCATGAATAAGTCCTATGATTGGTTTGTTAAAGTTGTACTTCACTGGGTCATTTTCACTCTGCTCCTAAAAGATCTGCTGTGAAAGAAAGTTTAATGGGTCTAGGAAATGGAAACCATACATTTCCAAGGCAACATAGTTAAGCAATACAAATTGCTTGTTCTCACCATGCTGCGAGAAATGAAGACTAAGATATAGATACTGGATTTTAATACTGCTTTTCTAATTTACACTGGAACATCTTTCTGTGGTGTTTTTAAAATCTTATTACTAAAATTATACAAATGTAAAGACTCTTTGGAGAAATTGAGACTCCTCAGTTACACCAGACTGTTGGTAACACAGTTCCTAGTCATACAGAATGCACTCTGCTTTAGTGCTGTACCAGAGAATACCTACAGTTAATGAGGATTTCTCCTTTCAGGTTACAGGCTCTGTGAATTAAGAATGTATCTTGAATAAGAGGCGCTCTTCTTTTAATATATGTCAGTTAGTAGGGATGTAAAAGGGTAACCAGACCTTGCCCAAGCCCCAGCAGCTAGCCAGCCACACCAGGCCAGAGCAGCTCAGTCCATGGCAAATCGGGCTGCCTGGAGCGGCCTCAGCCCCATCCATGTAGGACAGGCCAGCCTGGTGCAGCCCTGCTGTGCCTGGCCAGCAAGACCCCAGACCCACAGCCCCAGTGAGAGTGACCTTGGTTAACCAGTTAAATAAACATTTTAATTTTAATTTTTTAACCAATATTTACGTCCCAATCATCTAGTGGCAGATCTACTGTAGAAAGCTTCCTGTCAGATGTTATGTTCTCTTTCCACACAAACACTAACGCTCTCATTTTGTAGTAGAATTTGCTGCGTTGGGGGAGGTGGAATATATAATGTTGTTATAAGCTGCTACAGCATTGCCTTTTGTGTATTAGTATAGCTGACCTGAATAGCAACAGTGTAGCTGAACAACTGACAGCACTATAAAATGTATGAAGGAGGCTAGCTCTTTCTCTTCCTGTAAGGAGAGTGGTCTCCAACCTTTTTAAGCATGAGATCCCTTTTTGAATGTAAGTACAATCCAAAATCAACCTCAAACCCAAATACCCTGGCCCCGCCTCCTTTGTGCCTCTTCTCTGAGGCCTCACCCTTGCTCACACCATCCTGCCTCCCTTTTTCCCTTCCTCCCGCACCCTCTCTCACTTTCACCAGGCTGGGGCAGCAGGTTGGGGTGCAGGCTCTGGTCTTGGATTAAGCGATTTGGAGTCTGAGAGGTGCTCTGAGCTGAGCTTGGGGCAGGCAGTTGGGGTACTGGAGGGGTTCTAGGAGCAGACTCTGGGTGGGTGTTTGGATACAGAAGTGCTCGTGGCTAGGGCAGTGGTGTAGGAGGGGGTTCATGACTGGGGTAGGGTTTTGGGATGTGGGGTCCGACTGGGCACGGCTTACCTCAAATGACTTCTAGGTGGTGGTGCAGTGGAGCTAAGGCAGGCTCACCCCTGCCCTGGCCCTGCACCACTCCCTAAAGCAGCCAGCAAACTCCATCCCAAATCCTGTTGTGCCCCCTACTCTGGAGATAGGCTACAGGATGGGAGAGGGGACACCTTCACATCAGCACCCCTCCTCTCCCTTTTCTGCCCTGAACAGCAAGCGGGAGGCAACTCCAAGGCAAAAGGCAGGAGATGAGCAGCATTAGGTGGAGGGGCAGTTGAAGTGCCAGCATTTGATAACCTCTTGGCCAAACCAGTCAGGATCTCCTGTCAGAGTCTCCGAGGTCCCCTGTCAGAGGCTCTCAGTAAATCAGGATCTACTGGTTAGTGACCATTGCTGTAAGGATGATAGTCCAGACCCTGGGCTGTAGTGCAGTGGTTCCACACCTGACTGCCAGTGGATTCTGGCTGTAAGATACCTTGTAGTAGCCTCTGCTCTAGGACAATAGAGCCACCCTCCCAGCAGCTGTAAGTGCCATTTCAAACAGCGCTGACTTCAGGCAGCACTGTCAAAGGATAGAAGCCCCACTCTTCCCTCATGCTCTTTTGGTGAATAGTTTCTGAACTGAGATCTTTTAAAATATTTGTTTTAAAATAGAAACATTCAGGGGAGGATGGAGGGCCCCAGGTCTGTGGGGAAAGTCTGTTGTTATCAGCAGTATATTATATCACTAAATACAACTGCAGTGGTCTTTACTGACTCGTAATGCATTCAGTTTTCCTTTGCATATGGAGATGGCATTGTTTTAAATAACTGATCATCTCCTTTTCACCAAGGTGTTAACCTTTCAGTCTTTTTTTGCTGGCAAACAGCTTGACATGTCTGAGGATGGGATGAATCAGAGCTAAGAAATTATAGCAGCTATCAGAGGGAGATTGTGAGTTGCATAATTCCTTTATGATTTTGTAAATCCCTGCTTTCTGATTGGCTGATGGCCATCATTACCTAATAAGAGCAGAAGAATTAGCATAGTTTGGTTATCAAAATATAACTCTGCAGTGATTCTACAGATCAGGCATCCAGAACCAAGCAGGGTTCCGGGAACTGCCCAAAAGGAAAACCATTCTAGTTCTGTATCTGTTGTATATAGCATTTTAGCACTCTGAGTAAATTTGATTTAATTGGAATTTAACATAATGATGATAATTAAAGCAAAAGTTGACTTAATTAAACTGAAATAGGGTTATGCTTAAAAATAACACTTGAAGTAATTAGGGAATGAACTGCTCTATTTTCAGACTAATTGATCACATTTTTCTTTTTAAAAGCAAACTTCTGTACTGGATTCCAGTGCCCTGAAATCCCGCGTGCAGCTCAGCAAAAGGATTCGCCACCGAGCACCTAGCTCCCATTCGCTCAGGAGAAGCAGACAGATAGAGTCTGAGAACAAATTCTCTGTGGTGGAGGAGACTGACAGCACTTGGATGTTTAAAGACTCCACAGGTTTCCCTCTCAATGGTTTGGACATATTTTATCCTCCATAGTATCTTTTCTCCTCTTTGAACTATTGTCCCTCCAGGTACTCCACTTCAGTTGTGAGATTTTTGTTGGCAGTGTGTACATCCATCTTGTGCCCTACATACCCGGATGCTCCAGCCTGAGGATGTATAGGGATAGGTGGATTCCAATTCCTTCTTAACCACCTGTGGCTAGAGAAACCCACTAACTTATCATCCCTACATCTGTGTGTTTCTTATCATTCCTATTATTTTATTAATGATATACCCATATGTTTTGCTTTTATATTTTCTTTCCCCTTTGTTCCATGATCAAGGCCTCGATTGTGGCCTTTGTTCCTTTGGTGTGCCCAAAATCCTAGGTCCCAAAACTTGGCAGACCTGACACAGGTTCTTCTCTCAACCAGGGGCCTTTCAGCAGTCTGAGACTCTCATCCCCATCTCCTTACATTCAAGAGCAGATCCAGGAACCTGAAAGAGGTTCCTTCTTGAGTGTTCGTTCTCTTTGAGACCCACCATCATTTCAGAGTCCATATTTTGCCCTGAACCTTTCCACCTCCTCACTCCAGCACACTAGGGTCAGCCTCTCAGGCCACTCCAGTGGCTTCTTCAGCTCAAGTGAGCAGAGATGAAGTAGCATATTTGGAGACTTCATAACTCACTAAAAAGAAAATACATTGATTGCTGGATGGGAGAAATTGGCCCAAAGAGCAGGAAATAAAGACATCTTGCTCCCTGGTATGTTTAATGCTGAGGCTTACCATTCCTCTGCTACGGAGATGTTGGTTCCTCCAAAAGGCTTCTACTACTTTGTATACCAGGAAGTCTCTTAGCAAACCACTCTATTCAGCACCATCACTGGCAGCCTCATTGGAGTTCTACGAGCAGAGGGAGAGCTTCGACCTCTTCCTTGAGCCATGATCATAAAGGATGCACTGCCCATCCTATCCATACTCTCTCCAGTAGCACTCGACATATCTCAGCCTGAGGAATCAGGGCGTAAGGTCAGAAGTCCTCTCTCTCGAGGCTCATCTGTGTCAGAGCCCAAACTCTCTCTTTTAAGGAGTACCAAGAAAATGTTTTGCCAGTACGGATGTACCCTTTAGTACTGTCATACCCTCAAGTGTTGCATCCAGTTCTGGGCCCCCCACTACAGAAAGGATGTGGATGCATTGGAGAGGGTCCAGCAGAGGGCAATGAAATGATGAGGGGGCTGGAGCACATGACCTATGAGGAGAGGCTGAAGGATTTGGGTTTATTTAGTCTGCAGAAGAGATGAGAAGGGGGGATTTGATAGCAGCCTTCAACTTCCTGAAGGGAGATTCCAAAGAGGCTGGAGAAAGGCTGTTCTCAGTGGTGACAAAAGGCAGAGCAAGGAACAATGGTCTCAAGTTGCAGTGGGGGATTGCCCTAGGAGGGTGGGGAAGCACTGGAATGGGTTACCGAGAGGGGATGGACTCTCCATTCCTAAAGGTTTTTAAGCCCTGGCTAGGATGATTTAGCTGGGGTTGGTCCTACTTTGGGCAGGGGGCTGGACTCGCTGACCTCGTGAGGTCTCTGCCAGCCCTAGGAGTCTATGATTCTAAGTGCTGCTACAAACACACACAAAATCTGGGTCTCCAGTACTAATGCGACTGCCTGTACCAACTTTACCATTGGTACCAACACCCTTAGCGCCTCTGCTGAGTACAAGGGGTGACACTTGCTCAGACTCGGACATTTTCATACAGGATTCTATCACCTCTTCTTTTGTTGTGTCCTAGGTATGAGACCCCAGCAGCCAGTTGATATCTCCCATCAACCTTGGCAATAGATCCCTCTCGCTTTCCTTATGTTCTGCCACTCTGGGCTTTCTAGAACACTTGGGTCCCATATGGTGATCAGTTCTAGAATGTCCCCACTGGTGCCCCAGCACCCTCTTCCCAAGGAAGAGCCTTCAGATGAATAAGAGCTAAGGGCAGAGGAGGTGGCAATGCCATTCAGTAAATCCTGTTCCTCACAAGGCAAGGCAGTCATGTTCCCTCCCCCATGCTACGTGGGTGACTTCAAAGACTAGGTAAAGAGGGTAGCTGAGGCTTTACAAATCCCTTGAAGGACACATAAGAACTACAGCATTCCTGGTGTATATTTTACTTGCCTCTTCTCCAGGTGAGGAGGTTGCTTACCCATTAACAATCCCCTATAAGACACCCACCCATTCACTGTGGCAAATACTAGCTGATTTCTTGCCAACATGTAGGCAGGTTGACAAGAAGCACAAGGTACCAGCCAAGGGCTCAGACAGCCTTTTCTCCCAGCTCATGGCACACTCCCCAGCTGTCTAGGTCAACCACAGTGCTGGTCTAGATCAGCTGTCACAGCCAGGATCTTATGCTCCTACACGTTCTCAGCCACAAACGCCACTCTTTGGCCACCCTACAGGTCCAAAGTAGCCAGTTCTCATGGCCTGAAGGCAAAGTGCAACAGTATGAACTATAGCAAACATTCTCACTTTTGCAACAAGAGCAGAAGGGCCTGTTTTAAAACCTCATCAACAAGAGCAATTGCCAAAGCGTCTTTACTATCTTCCATCAATGTAGCTGACACAGCTTCTTGTTCTGTGGTAACCATCATAGTTATACATTGAGCTGTATGGCTGCAGTTCTCTGGTCTCCCTGTGGATGTGTAGAATAGAGTGGAGGATCTTAAGGGTCAATGGATGGGAGAAAAGAATGTATGATCAATCAAAGTAGCCCCTTCTGCTGGTTTCTGTTGGAAGGAGATTTACCAGGTTGCCCCAGTTATTACAGGTTTGTGTGTTTCAGTTGCTCTGTTCTCATGTTACTAGGAGCTAGCTGATCTTGTGTGCATTTTTAGTGACCTGACAAAATTAAAAAATCAGTGTTTATTTTAAGACACCGAATCATAAATGTTAATGTTACAAAGCTACAAGTGACTCACGCTGTGACCTGTGATGATCATTGTGCAAAGCCAAAATGTAGTAAGCAAGAGGCCAGTGAATGTGAGTGAACCGCGCTAATGTAAACTTAACTTTAGCATACACACATGTGCTTTTGTGCTTTTAATGTATAAACTGAACAATTCAGTAGCAATAGCTGAATTTCAGTATATAGTTTTGCCTTTGTACAGCCCTACAGTCTCTCTACTAGTAGGTATTTATAGCGCCTGTTGCCATAGTGTGAGCACTAAATCATATCCAATAACTTCCACTCAGTCATGAGTCTATTTTGTTGCATTGTTACCCTGTGTATCTTGTTACATAGGAGGAGGGATATGAGGTCAAGACATGGACAGAACCTTTGCTGAGCAACTTGCTTTGTTTCTGCATAAATGTCTCTGGTGTGAAATAACATCTGGTTATTGTAATTTTTTGCTAGGAGAAAAATCTAAAAAACAGGAAGAGTCTGATGAGGAAGAAAAAATACATCAAACAGAGAGATCCTCAGCTGCACCACCTCAGCGGCTTCCTGTTTTTCCAGGCATGGACCCCTCTGTTCTGAAGGTGAATATAGCCAGATCATCCTTGAGTAGATTAGGAGTCCATTTAGTCTAATGTCCCATGACTGACAGTAGCCACCATCTCTAGAGGACGGAGTAAGAATCCCAGAAAGTGCAATTCTCAGATTGTGGGTCAGAACCTTGCCATGGGTTGTGATCCATTTTAGTGGGATTACCAGGGCTGCCTTAAACTTGCTGTGGCCCAGGGCCAAATCCCAAACCCCACCTCCCAGAGCCCAGGCCCAAGGACTCAAGTTACAGGCCCTCTGCCTGGGGCTGAAGCTCTTGGGCTGTGTCTCCTTCCCAACCCCTCTCGCTCAGATACAACCCTCCTCCTGGGTGGAATAGTAGTTTTTGTTGTCAAAAGGGCATCACAGTGCAATGAAGTTTGAGAACCCCAATCTGATCAGAAGAGAAAAAAGGATGATCTGTTAGATGGCCTAGAAACTGATAGCAATGTTATAAATAGCCTATTCTCTTATTGACCCTGTATTATTGACAGATATATTGGCTGTGGTATAGAAGGATATTTAATGTCAGAATCATGTATGTTTTCTAACAGCTCCTCAGGTTTATGGTAAATTCCATTATGAATATATGTAATTGATTGATTTCAGACTTCGGCTTTCTTCTGCTTCATAAACCTGTGAAATGGTTTGAGTGATCAGTTTGTATTTCAAGCCAAAAGCAGGATTTATATTTTTTTTAATTAAAAAAACACCTTTTTCCTAGGCTCAGCTTCGGAAAAGACAAGAGCCCGAGAGTCCCAGTGAAATAAAATCAGCACAGCTATTGAAATCCCAGTTCCAGCAAGGAGCTCCGGGTGGTAGGGTACTGCCCTCTAGTGCTGAGGAGAACAGGTAAGAGCACTACTTATAACCCAGCAAGCAGTACATTCAGATAGAGCTGTTCATTTCCTTTCTGGGAGCCTAGAAGCATATGACTCATCTTGGTTTTGTTTCTGTAATCTAAAGTTTATGTTGCTGTATCCTTAGGTCAGAAGAAATGTCTCCTCAATGGCTGAAAGAGCTGAAATCAAAGAAAAGGCAAAGCCAATATGAGAATCAGGTTTGAGAAGGTACAGTACTGCAAAAAAAGGGGGGGCTACTATATAGAGTTTGGGTCTGTCAGTTTGGCTGTGAAGTCACTTGTCTTTTAATCTAAAAAGACATAATTATCTGAAGGAGAAAGGAACATGTAGTTACATTTAGCCTTGCAACCTGGCAGAAACAATGTACGTACATATTGGGCATGGGTAAGCTCTTGCTGTGACTGGTACACCCATGAGGCTGGATATGCAGCAGATAGATCTTTGCAATACTTAAGCCCCTTAGAGCTGAAGCAAATGTGAAACTTTGAGTGGAAAATCTGTTTTGAACACATCTGTACACTGACTCTGTAAGCACGGAGTAAATGCACGTTGTATGTGACTGTGCAATCCATGTCCAAGGCTGTAAAATATTCCCATCATGAAACAGATCAGATTTCATTGGAATTTACTGTACAGATGATGCAGTTCCTCCTTTCCTTTATTGGTGTATAGCCTTATTTACTAGCCCAGTTAACTTCTTAGCAGACAGTTCTATTGTATAACACATCTTCTACTAATTTTAGAATAGTGTGTAGTCTTGCTACTAAGCATGGTCATTGGTTAACAGGTAGATTCTGCAGATAGATATTTAACCCAGGAGAGTATTTGGTTTCAGTGATGCTCTTAATGGTTCATATGCCATTTAATAACACAAAATAGCTTGTGTCTGCTGCTACTGCACCAGCAACAAACAAATAGTATCACTGAGAGTGCCCACATGTCAGAGAGACTTGGAAGTGATGAGATTGGCTAAATGTATAAGCAATGTCATTCAGCAACTATTCAAACAGCTTCCGGGTTTTCTTTTTCTTTTCAGACACTGATTCTGATTAAGAAAAGACATAGAAGTGTAACAGAAGCCTTAACTCATCTGAACCTAAAATTCACACATCATGCTGCTGCTGTTTGCTTCCTGCCTCGACTACTATGTGCATGGTGCCTTCCTGCTTTGTGGAGAAAGCTGCTTAAAATTCCAAGACAAATACAAAGCTGTATCTTCTCAGATAGGGAAGGACATAGTCACTTTAGAAGTACCTGAAATAAAAGGTGGTGCAGTAGACTTAGCACTTCAGAAGGTCTTGCCAGAGGGTAACATTTGTTCTGGTAAAATCTGCACATCAGGAAAAGTCCCCTTGCCTTCGATCAAAGATGACATGTCTTCAGAATTCAGCAATGTTCAGTAACTCCAGCATCTGAATAATGGTTAGGAGTGTCTTGTGTAAAGGCTGGGGTTTGTATTTGTTTATGAAAATAACACAATTTTAAATCAAATTAATTTTTTGTGAACTAATAGTGGTTCCTATATAGAATGAAGTTTGTTGAAGAGAGAGTGAAAGAACAAATCATGTTTACTGCCATATTAAAAATGAAATGTGACTGATGTATTTTAAAGGTATTGTTGATTGGCTGATGCTTACACGAGATATGCTGATCTGGCAGATCAAGTTGATATATAGATTGAGCATAATGTTAATTTTTCATTCTTTAACTGGGATTTTATATGATCTGTCAGCAATAGTGTAATTGCATCATTAGAATATCATATTCTTAGGAAGATAAAGCAATAATGTCAATCAGTTCTTTAAAAATAAATGTAAATATTGTTTTTATTACTAAAAAGCAAGTGACGAGGAAGGATGTATATTCTTGTCAATATGAGGGTTTCCGATATTTGTTGAATGTCATTCTAGAAGCACCTCAGATTGTTTCACTTGATATTTTTATTAGTTACCTCTGTAAATATCAATTTTAAGTGTTTATTTTTATGCTGATTTTGTGGGATAATCTAAATGCAATCTCTAACTTCTCAAATGTTTATTAAATGATCTATACATTTTACTTTGGTAAGACCATAGAGGTGTGTTAGTAATGTAGATAATATTAACATCACAACACAGCTGTGTCGGTCAAATCAAAAGAGTTTTGATGTCTTTGGAGACAGATTATGAAATCTAGATATTTTTAACTAAGATGTCCATTTATAAATAAATTATAAATGGATACTGTATTTAAAATATGTATTAGCTACTTTCTTTTCCCCAAGTAAGTGCTCTTTTCAGAAAATCTTTAAAAATATGTGCTAGCATTACATTGTGGGAGCAAAACACAAGAGTTCACTGTCTGCTGCACTGCAGTTTTTGTTCACTGCTGAAAGGTTTTTTAAATTAAATGTTAAAATTCAGGCTCCAGCACTTGCACTCATTTTTCCTCTTACTGCTAAGCATTTCAGAAGGCATGTTCCATGTAGTACTCCACAAATGCACCTGCTAACCAAAGGGATAAGCTTTGTCTGCCACCCATCAAGTGTTTAGCTGCCATAAACCATGTGCCAATTCTTGTCCTAAAGAAGTCACTAATGAGGTGATTTCACTCCCAGCCTGTACTTCAGTAAATATCTGCAGTATGGTGAGAGATATGCCCAGTGTGGTGTTCTTCCTTTTAGTAGTATCAGCATTCCCACAGCAGCATCTGTTATCTGATTGAAAGACACCTGAATATTTTCCCAATTCATAATAAAAGTGTCTTTGCTCAGTTCTTTGCCCTGAGGTAACAGTGCCAGAGACATGGCTTTTACAGTTTCTTCTGTCACAGGTCAGTGAGTTTTCCAGAAGGAGAAGCTTCCAGATGAGCACACTGGTCCAAACTATTAAAGAGACACTGTTGACTACTTTTAAAAACTATTTGTATATGTTTTCTGCCCATTGTTTATGTTTTGTGGGATCTGTTTTACTTTTGGAAAAGTAACTTTTAGGCAAGGCTTCTATTTTTCTGTGCTTGTGAGGCATCAGCCAGCTTGTTTGGTCAGTTATGCATCAGAGGTTCTTGAAGGTATTGGCATGTACAATTTGAAAAGTATTTCATTAGCTGCAGGATTTTTAGGTGTGATAGAAGACTGTTGGTCACTTTTAGTTTCACATGTTAAGTGTATGTGTGGCTTTTTAAAGCTGTTCAGAATCCAAATAAATGTCCCTGTGATCATAAGAATGCTTAGGGAAGTTTAATTTTAGAATTGAGCAACTTGACAGTGTCTCTTTAATGACAGTGAGAGCATTTTGTCTGATACTTCCTGATGGAACAGAATGAAAGCCACAAATGCTTTGGACTGTTAGCTGCAGTGTTTTCGCTTCACATTCTGTTATACTAATGGGTTTGGTTTTGCACATTGGCAAAGCCCTTTGAATGAGTATGTGTCCATTTCTGCATGAACAGTGCACTGACATTTACTATAGTTTCACTGCTTGTGAGAAGTGTATAATCTTAAATATATCTGATTTTTAAAAATCTTTAGGATGAGGTGAAGGGGATAATATTTTTTTCTTGATTTTTTTTTTTATTCCTTGGTCTTGTATGTGAATTAAATATATAATTTCTCCTGTGACTTCAGGTTCCCACCACATAATTACTGACACGTCTAAAAATATTTATTACACATACAATAACATATTGTAAAACACCTTTTAATTTCATTTTAATTTTAAATGTTTATGAAACTTTTTACTATTTTAGTTTAAGACTCACAAATTATAACTTGCTGTTAATATGAACTAGGAATGAGCTCTTAGCTGCAGTCTGTTCTTCACATATGACTTATTTTTTGTATTAATAACTGTTGGAAGCTCTTTTAAGAGTGAGTTTTAACCTTCAACTCACTTTGACTTGAACTCTCTTTGTAAGTGTGATAGGTGTTTTGTATTCGCCATTCAATATGAGACGTTTTTGCAAAAGTATTTTGTTGTTTTCCTTTAAGACCATCACTTTTTTGTCTGCTCTTCATCCCATAGTTACACACCTTTATCAATATTTTCAAAAAGTAAATGTGCATCCATCTGTAATATGACACTTGGAAATATGTTAATGCTCCCTTTTTCACTGAAATTAGGACAACCCTCTCTTCGCACTCTAATTCACTTACATTTAGGATCAGTACAAGCCTGTAAATTTCATAGTCATTGGGATCACCAACTAGCATTTTATTCTCTTATATTCATTTTGCAAATGCACCTTTGCAAAATGCACCTGGCTGTATATCTTGAGGTTAGTACATGCTAAGTCAGTATTTTTTCTGGTTTTGTATTATCTGCTGTAAACAAAGATGCTAAATTTTTGCTTTCCATTGTTAACATGTGGTATAAGATTTAAAAAGCTGCTTCTTGCTTGCACAGAGATTTAGCTTTCCACTCGCTGGTGTTTGTTTTGATCACCTAGTAATTGCTGGAAAACTACCAGAAACATATATAAAAAACTGCCAGCTACAAATTCACAAATCATAGAATTGTAGGACTAGAAGGGACCTGGTCATCTGGTCCAGTCCCCTGCCTTCAGGAAAGGCCTAAAGCGTATTAATATCACCTCTGACAAATGATGATCTTCTCTTAAAAATCCCGATAAGAGAGATTCTCCAAACTCCCTAGGCAGTTTATTCCAATGTTTAACGACCCTGACAGGAAGTTTTTCCTAATGTCCAACCTAAACCTCCCTTGCTGCAAACTATTTTTCTCATAACCTTAGGGGTAAATGAGTGCAATTTTTTTCCCTCTTCCTTGTAATCATCTTTTATGTACTTAAATTATGCGCCCCCTTGGTGTTCTCTTCTTCAGACTAAACAAATCCAATCCTTTCAGTCTTTCCTCATGGGTCATGTTTCCTAAATCTTTCGTAATGTTGTTGCTCTCCTCTGTTCTTTCTTCAATTTTCCCACATACGTGTGCAAATTTTTTCTCAACCATGCTATTCAGAGAAGCATTATCAATTCATTTAAAATTGATTTAACATGTTTGCACATGTGGTTTGATGTAAAGTTATTACATAGAGAGCCCTAATGTCCCAAAGTATAACTGTAGAGATCAAGACAATTCTAGGATGAGTTTAATATAAATAGTGTGGAATCCTTTAAAACATCTAGGCATCATTGCTGGTAGCTACCTTCTTTACACTTTGCATCCTGACTATATACACAGCTATGCCCAATGCTCTCAAAGGAATGTACTGTAAACAGAGCATAATTGGCTTTTTAAGGATCTGTGTCACACATTTTATATGAATCTTTAGAACAAAAGAGTTGGTTAACCCAAACTCCCATTGGCCCACATGTTTAAAATATTACAATTCTGGATGCTAGAAATGTGTTATAGAAAGAAGACATTGCTTGTTTATAAAGGGCAAAAGAAGGAGTTCTGTGAGGGTGTCTGGTGTAGAATAATTGACATGAATTAGCCAGAGTCTGTTTTGTAAAATACAGTGGAAGAAACTGAAATATAATTATTTGGGACAAGCAGATATGTTCCATATGGCTGTCCTGTGGGCAGGAAAAGGTTCATTGCTATCTTACTACCATTTATTTTTCTTGGAACAGACCAACTGTATATCTACACAGCAGTGTTATTTCGGAATAACTGACCTTATTCCGAAATAACACAGTGCATAGCTCAAGTTGCATAGCTTAATTCGGCTTTAGCCCTGCTGTGTAGACATGCCCCAAGTGGGTCAGTTCCAAGCATGTTAAACCTCTGTCACTCTAATTGGGCCCAGTGTATCTTAACACCATACAAATACCTTTCAGTGACAGGGAAATACTAAAATCTGTTCTGTCAGCTAAACTGTACCTGAACAGTTGATCCAGACTTCTGCAGTTGGCTTAAACCATAAGAGAGAACACCTACAACCTCAGGAGGAAAAACATGTCATTGGCAATGCTGACAGTCTTTACGTTCTTTTGCACAGGTTCATGTTTAAAACATGAAACAATTTCAGTCTTTGGAGGTAAACTTTCCTTTCAGATATTCCTGAATTTAAGTAATACAGTAAATTGTATAAAACAAGCCAATGTGTCTTTGTGGAACAGGTGTTTTTATATGCTAGCCTGGCCAGCCGGAATAACCTATGAATGTGTAAACTCTGCTGTATTTGGGTTAAGTCTACACTGAGAGGGTTTTCCAGGAACTTCACCGCCTCCAGGGAATGCGTTTGCTCTTCCACTTTTTTTTTTCCAGAAGTGCAAACGCGCTCTTTCGGGGAGCCCTGTATACTTTGTTCTATGAGGAATAAGGGCTCCTCCAAAAGAGGAGGCTTTTCTGCCATTTGGCCTCATCTAGATGGGACCAAATGGCGGAAAAGCCTCTTTCAGAAAAGCAATTGTAAAAAGCTACACAAATTGTGGCACGCAATTTGCATAGCTTTGTCCCCAAAAAAAGCTACAGTGTAGACCGAGCCTTTGAGAACTTTTTTCTCCACTATTTGTCCCTCATACAAATCAATCCATGCTGGTTTGCCATTGCATCATCTGTTTAACTGAAGAGGCCCTCTTCTCTGTTCCTCACCCCAGATATAGTGTTAGTAGCTCACCTCCTGAAACCATGTTAGAGGTACTCAGATACTACATTGATGAGGGACATCTGTGCACAATGGTGTCTGAAGGCAATGTTTGGCCTTTAAACATTATGATAGAAATGGCTTTTGCTGTTTCTGCATGTTAACTCTGGGCCCCTATTTTTTACAAAATATAGCCTCTTTACTTAGCAGCTCCCCGCCCTCCACTCCAGCTACATGTGCATGGTGCTAATGGTGCCTTGCTAATTAATCCAACCCATGTACGAATGGCCAATCCAGATTTGGTGTAAGGTCTGGTCTTCACTAGGACAAAAGTATGTTCTGAACTTGTTAGCTAACTGGTGGTACAGTCCTAGTAAAGACAAGGCTGTTTGTTGCATGGACTTGCTACCAACTGCTTTGTCTTCACTAGGATTCTACTTCTAGCTATCTAGAATTTTCACTGGAAACAAGAACACACCTTCCCCCTCCACCACAAGTGAAGACCAGATTTCATTGATTGGTGGGAACCACATTGACCTCTGTGGAGTGCTGCCCTTTTACAAGAGGTTTGAATATGGACCAATGAGCATAATATTCCAAGTCCACTATCATCCAGTATACCAGGGTCTAAGGAAGTGTGGTCAATGCTGGCTCTTGATTGCCGGGATTCAAGAGAGAATGTGTGTTTAGCTATATAGGAAATATTTCAGTTCCAGGGCATGATCAGCAGTCCTTCCTCATATCAATGTGCTTTCCCTGAAGTATTTTAAACCACTCTGTGGTCTGTCCCCACACCGCTCAGTTGAAAATATTTTTATCAAAATGCGTGTTGAAATGATTTTTTCATCCTGTTGTTGGGATTGGAAGAGAAGGGGGAAGGCAAAGTTTACATGGCTCATGGATTTTATTATTATTATATTGAAGATGCTGACACTATCAAACCTGTTTAAAGGAGCTATTTATAGATAAAAACTTTCATATCATTCCACATAGCTTTACAGAACATGTGAATATGGATCACACTATGAATGAATATAGAAAATATTTTGTACTACATAGTTTCCTAAGTAATAACAGATATTCTATCTCTTGTGTATCGGCTTCTCTGACTATGATTCCAAGTTTAGCATTGCCAGGTATTTACAAAAGACTATATTTTCTAACATTGTGGTGTGAGCATTTCTCAAAGGAATTAAAGAAGCTGACAGCAAGAAGGAAATTGAGTCCTGATAGGAAAGAAAAACCAATACAATATATCATCCCTTTCCTCCATGATGTTTTGCAACTGCCTTATCTATGTGCATACTCCATGAACTTGGAAAATTAAGCAGGATTTTTGGGCACTTTAGTCATTGCAAATATAAATGTAAGTGAAAATGTTACCAAGAAAATGAACGTATGGAAAAATACCTATATTTTTAAAGTAAACAAGAAAAATACAGTATCTTGTTCAGTAAAGATACAAATGAATCTCATGCCAGTACTCCCCTGCGTATTTGTTCTGTACAGAAGTAATTTTATATTTTACAATTGAGAGTTTTCATATCAATAGCAAAGCTGATAATCTGTGAAAAGGAACTGCAATAAAAGTGAACTACAGTAAACTGCTGTCTGTGGTGGATCTTTGCATGTACAAAATGTGTAGCATTCAAACAATGACAATAAATGAGAGTACAAAGCTTGGAGGCCAGTTGTATTTAATGGGTGCTTTTGCTCTCTTACGGCATTTTAAGTATCCCAGCATATTGCAATTCTCCCATAAAATCTTCTTGTAACCTTACACACAGCAGAGTTTTACCCTTATGTTTGATTGCCTGTTGCCCATTATGAAGTGATACTGAAAACAGAAATGACAGAGCACCTTTTGAAATGATAACTTCACCTTCCCTGACCCATTTAGGTGCTACAACACTAGTCAGTGGCAGCATCATAATTGGCACTGACAACTCTTAGAATTTTAGACAACATGTGGAGTATGTTGCCATAGAAATTCTCCATATCCCATGTTTAACCGACTTGCTCCCTGACCACTGTCCCTGTCTGTTTGTCTTGACTCTCTTCTTGTTAAGGAGCCTTGGTATCAGACAGAAGGTTTACTAGTCCCATTTTTTTCTGTCACTTCCACATGTTAGTGACACACACCTTTACCCAAATCCTAGGGCTCAAGGTATAACCCTGTTAATTTAAATACCCCCACCCCCCCAACCCAGTTGCTAGGACTCAGGGTGTAACTTCCTGTGGATTTGCAGTCTCTCTTACCACTAAAAGTGCCTTACACAGTAATATCCTTCTTAATCTCTGTTTATTAATTATAAACAGAATGCACACCAGGCATACAGTGCTCATTGCTTCCAGTGAGACAGATGACCTTGTCTTGGTGACCAGTCAAGATCAGGTCCTGGACTCTAGTTTCAGCATTGTGTCATTGGTGCAGGGTTAAGAGCTGGCAGCTCTGACCTTGGAGCTGTGTGTGTGTGTGAGAGAGAGAGTGTGTAACATATTTTCAGGTATACCTTAACCTATAATTCTATTAAAACTAAACTAGCCAATCCTAACATATTGTAATATGATCATCTAAACAATTATATCCCACTACCTTAATTGGTTTACAACCAGCAAAATTAATTGTACAGGAGATAGAGATAATCAAAGAAACAATAGAGATGGGGAGTTGGTCCTTGCCAGGTGGAAAGCTATTAAACTAAGTTTTCTTTACCCATCTTGAGATCTGTTTCTGTATCTGGTGACTGGGCACCATTAGGTTGGAATCTCCTTAACAGTCTGGTGTGACATTACTGTATGCACAGTAGATGGAATATGAGTCTGTGACTCCAAGCATTACAACTAATGGCTGCTGCTCTTCAATTGGGCTGCAGAAAGTGGCTTTAAGACTTCCAATATGGCTACAAAAACCATATTGTAGTTACATTTGTGATATAACCACAATTCTTCCCATTGACACACAAAGATGCTTGGGAGAAAGGAAGTAGCAGGTGGCTTGTGGCATTGCTTTTCTGTTTCCCTATCCTATTTGACACCCTGGCTCCCAAGTAGGCTGGTGTGACAAGGGAGTATCCAGCTTTCATGTGAGTTCTTTAAACATACAAAAATTAAAGCAAAAACCCAGATCAGGGCAAATAATAGAGCAACTTCAATGATTCATGTAATTACATTTGTCTCATGACTGGCTTTTGCTGTGAACAATTTGCCCAGCTCTTAAGGCCAATAGCTGCATGAACCCCGCTAGCATCTGCAGCAGAACTGCTATCAAAAGGCCTGGCAACCTCATGGAGCCCCAAGTAGAGCAGTTGCTGGCAAAAGGGGTGAGTCAACAGCCTGCCCATGTTGGATATTTGGGGAGTTGTATCTTTTTGGCACCATAAAGCCCTGTGTCCGTGCTGGGCTTTGTTTTCCATTCTCGCTGGGTGCCGGCCAGCCAGAGCGATGTGCATGATTAGCCGGTGGATAGGAACACAAACCGTGACTGCTTAGATGGAGCACACTGGTCGTGTGGAGCCATGTGGCTCCAGGGACTGACATGAGGCCACATTGTATAGTGCAGTAGCTGTGCTCTGCAAATAGGCGAACATTTCTGAGCCTTCAATTAGTGCCTTGAGACTCCTAATGAGAATGGGGCAGCATAGTTTAGGCACAGAGAGAGCTTCTGCCCTGAAAAGTTTGCAATCTAAATAGACAAGTCGGACAGCTGGAAAGAACAGGCATAGAGAAGGAAAGGCCACCCAGCAGCTCGGTGTCAGAGCTGGGAACAGACACCAGGTCTCCTGTGATCCTCTGGACAACACTGCCTCAAAAAACCTGTGATACTATGGGATAAAGAGCCCTCACTTCCCCAGAGCTATACTGGATCCAGCATGGGCTGGAGCCTCCGGCCTTGCTTCACATGGTAGCCTGAAAAATACAGTAACCACTTGGCATAATGTTTTGCTTTGCACTGCCCTTGGTTTTAGCATGAAAACATCAATAAACTGCAAAGGTGGAGTTTTCCAGAGAACCTGGCCAGGAACAAGGGGAATGTGCTAATGCAAAATTCAATATTAATGTTCTGCCAAAGACTGGGACAGTTTTTTAAGGGAAAGCCAGAAGACATTGAATAATGTTTCCATAAACCGCTGCAAGCCCTCTCTATTGAAGTGAAATCTAATGGATGCAATTTACCAGACATACCTGCTGCATCAGCATCAAAACAATGTGCTGTCCTGTTCAGAAATAGCTCATAAATAGTGCTGGTCCCATTCTCCCTTTGTCACAACTAACAGACTCCAGAAGAGGTAGTGGTAGCATCTCTGCTTGGATTTGAATGGGTTTTTAGCAAGTAGCACAGGAGTTTTAGAAAAAGGTCTTTTACCATGCTGGGTATTTTGTTAAAATGTGGGAGAAATGCTACAAAAGGGCTTTAATTAACCAGGACACTAGTTGAACTCAGTGTCTTTATTTTTCCTACCCACTGACTCTTCCAAGCCCTGTTAAATTAAAACTGTTTAAAAAGGGGGCAGTGGAGGGAGGGAGGAAAGTGAGAAAAAAATGATAGCCAGCTGTGTCATGTTCAAATCGGAATGTGCTTGAATGTATCTCTTCAGATTCTTATATAGCACTCACCATTGTAACGGTGGAGTGCCTAAAAGGGGGACAGTAATTTTAGCCCCTGGGTTGGATTGTGCTTGGATATGGTAACAGTTGAGGTGGCTTTTTGCACAGGCAGAAAGAGAAGCATTAAGCAGAGGCAAACTCTGCAAGCTGAAGTTAACTGAAAATGAGGTGCATGTGTCACAGTGAGTTTAATTACCCATCAGACCAACTTCCTGGGTGCGTGGGTGTGTGTAATATGGAATTCTCTTGTTTTCAGTCTCTGTTGTGGCTGTCTAATGCAGCCACAAGTATCACTGGGCTCCGTGCAGGGACCACTGGATGAGGAGGGGTTGTAATGTAGGAGGATGGGTGTTCAGAAGGGAGCTGTGAGTTTATGAAGGCTGTGCTCCAGTCAAAGTTCTTTACCCAACCAGCAGCTGTAACTTTCGTAAAATAATTGTACAGCCTTTGTCAGGGTGACCGTGTTAACATTTTTCCATTTGGGATCTTTCAGGCACAATGGCTGAACCG